ACACACACACACACACACACATACACACTTACGTACATACACATACTCTCACAAACACACACACACACGCGCACACATACACACACTCATACACTAACACACTCTACGAATCCAGTCAGTTCACCGTAAATTCCCCTCCTACACATACATCATTATTATGCGCATCTACCACACACTGCACGAAACGACCCCCTGTCAACTCAAACAACAGGTGAAACTCATTGTGAATGCCGGAACATGCAACATGCTAACAATAGAATTATTTGCCGCCTGGCAACAAACAAAAGCGTGTTCTTCTGATTGGTGTACCTTCTTTTCCCCCAGTCATTCCTTCCGTTGTCTTCTCAATCATTAATCCGAGAAATGAAGTCATTATTTTGCATTTTATAACATTTAGACTTGAACAACCTGAATAAAAATAATTACCATAATCGTTGTAAGATTAGCCACGTTGCCACAATGGCCGACAGAATACGCCAGTTTTATTTCTTTAAGTGAAAGGGGGAGGAGAGGGAGGAAGAGTCTCTTTTAATGAGGACCTCCGTATATCTACGTTCTAGGAATCTGTATGAATAAATAAACGACAAAATAAAATAAATAACATACATTTTATTGATCCTAGAAGGGCTATTTGGTCTACAATGGCAAACATACATAAATACATACATGAATGCAGACATTATTGTAATATGCATAAATAAATATATACACATGATATATGTACATAAATACAAAATATCAGACCAATATGCAGATCAGTCCCAATGATCGTGATGGGTTCGTTCTCACAGTCAATATGGCACTTGCCCGCTTCCTGCAAAGTTCAAGTTATGTCATCGAAGGTGTGAAACAATAATAATAAATAGCATTTGTATAGCGCAAAGTGTAATAATAATAATTAGCATTTGTATGCGCCCCCCCCCCCCCGACAGCAAGCTCTATGCACTTTACAATGTATTATTTACCCCCAGCGGCCCCTATAACACTCAGATACATTCTCGGCTTCCTGCGGAGTATAATCATCAATCATCTTCTGTGCACCGTAGTATCTATATTAAGAATTTAGAACCATACTAGATATCTATCTATTTTATGAATTCATATGTCGTGCCTGATTTTTCTTCCAATTTTTGTGTCTACAACTGGACTTTTGAGGTTAGGGTAAAAAATAAAGTAGCCCCACCCACCCCCATCCTTTTTCCCTCATTTTGAAACTCACGAGAAGACACTCGGGATGTAGTTTACTTTTACCGAGTTATGTACTTGTAGAGTTTCTCGCTTTGTGCTTGACTGTCTATCATGTCTTTGAACACCTACATCGATCAGAAAGTTTTTGCTTTGAACAACTTGCTTAATAGCCCCTATTTTGTTTCTATTCACCAGAACGTTGAGATAGCGAAACATCCGTCACAGCTTCAGTACAAGCGTGCCTGAGGGAAGACATCACTGGGAGACCAGAACGCCCTTAGACCGAGTCTGCTGCTGTTTCAACTGATCTGTTGATTTCACGAACGCAAAAATGTGTGCTTGAGTGTGTTTTAACTTTGACATATTCATATTCTTTATTGAGAAATGTGACTGACCATCCTTTGAATGAAATACTGTGAAGAACGAGTTTCTGCATACGTGAACAATTAGTTTGGACATTGGTTACCTCTCAGAGCAGCCGTACTTGGTATAGAAAGTAATCCAAAGTGACTGATTTCATTCCACTTAACAGTTCTCGGTGTTTTTACCTTGATGACAAAACGCGGGAGACACTTTTGATTTTAAAGATAATCGGTTGTTGTTGGTTTCTTTTTTTTAAGTCTAAGAAAGTTCTACTCCCGCTGTGTGGTGTGTGTGCACTAAGCCAGGCGAATGGACGTTAAAGGCGTTATTCTGCGCCGCTGCAAAAAAGCCAGGGCGTCACCTGGGAGGCTGGAGGGTGGTCCTGTGACCTGTCTGCTCCACTGGGCACGCACGCTCATCTTGTGTGACCGGAAACCTCTTGGAAATCACTTCTGAGCGGACCAAGGATTTAAGGGATCCAGGGTGTCGCTGCTATTACATCACATTCAGGAATTCTTATTTGCCACGTTTGTAGAGAAGTTCTCAGGTTCGATAAAACAGATATCTCAGTTTCAAACACTCCGTGCTTATTGTACGTCGGAAATACCTCACTCTGAGTGCTCCCTGCTGACGTAAAAAGTGCTTGTGATTTACGTTTCAATCAACATTGTGACAGTTATTTATATAGAGAAGGACAAACGACAAGAACTATTTCTTGGTAGTTTGGAAACTGAACATAAGAGGTTACCAGTACCGTTGGTGTATTTAGAATTTGTTTAAGCCTAAAAGCTCCATCGCCTTCACAGCTCCAAAATGGAGGAGAGCAATAGTTTGTCGGACGCCTATCTCATCGACCCGTACCCGTCAGAGAATGTGAACACCACGCAGGAGCCCATGCCCAACATGACCTTACAGCCAGCTCGTCCTAACGGTACCGTGGACGCCCTTGTCTTTGAGCACTACGTCCGCATCATCGTTCCCACCATTTTCGGTGTCATCTGTCTGCTGGGGCTGTTCGGGAACTTCCTCGTCATCATGGTGGTCATCTTCAACAAGCACATGCGCAACACCACCAACATCCTCATCTTGAGTCTGGCAGTGGCGGACCTGTTGTTCATCCTGTTCTGTGTGCCGTTTACTGCTACCGGGTACGCTCTTCCCGTCTGGCCGTTCGGAGACATCGGCTGTAAGGTACAGAGTTACGCCATGTACGTGTGCGCCTACGCCAGTGTATACACACTAGTCCTCATGTCCCTGGACAGGTATCTTGCCGTGGTGCACGCCATACGCTCAATGACGTGGCGGTCTGAGAGGAACACTTGGTTCGCCATAGCTGTCGTGTGGATTATCATCCTGTGCGGGAACACACCGCTGCTGGTTCAGTTCGGGGAGAAGCGGTACGTGTACGAGAAGGTGGAGAACAGATCCGCGTGTCTCAACCTTGTGGACCTTGAGGATGCCAGCGTGGGGAAAGCCTTTTTTGGCTGTTTCCTCTTCTTCGGCTACATCATCCCTCTCGGGGTGACCGTTCTTCTCTACAGTCTCATGCTCAAGAGGTTGTTGTACGGCGTAGTGCCGGGGGGAAGGAACCAATCAGCGGAGAGTATTCGTGCCAAGAAAAGAGTTACGCGCATGGTGGTCATTGTGGTCGTCATCTTCGCTCTGTGCTGGCTGCCCATCCAGATCATCTTGTTCTGGCAGAAGTTCGGTAACTACCCGATGCACGCAACTTACATAGGAACCATGATGGCTGCCAACTGCTTAGCGTATATGAACAGCTGCGTCAACCCAATTCTCTACGCCTTCCTCTCTGAGAACTTCAGGAGGAGCTTCAGGAAATTTCTGTGCTGCTCAGAAACGTCTCGAAGGATGGACTATGAACGTACTAACGTGCGGTTCACCACCTGTGAGAAGGAGACAGTTAATACTTGCGTGTCTAACAATAAGACGTACACACCTGTTTAGAGCTCAGAACCGCTCTCGACTCGAATCTAAGGCTGAGGAGATACATCTACTAAAGACTAGACAGACCTCGCATGTCTTGCTGTGAACGAACCGTTTTGCCAACCAGCTCCATTTCCATTTTTCCTGACCCAGAACTAAACGGCCGCTGCATCTCCCCCCCCCCCCCCCCTTTCTCATCCCTCCCCTTGACGTTTTTGGGCTACCGCACGCCGCTGCTCTAGAAAAGGGTCGATCCAGAGGACCGTTTTCCTCCTATTAACTCAACCAAAAATGTCAGGAACAGTCTGAGGACATAAGGATGAAGTGACGCCATAAGAGGAGGGGAAAGTGTTGTCAGTGGCTGGCAGTTCGTTAAGAAATATGTCTGCATTGCCGGCGGCGTCGGGTGACAAAGAAGTTTCTATTTCAGAAACGAAAGCGACTTAAGAGAGTGTGTTGTTCTGTGTCCTGTTTCTTCCGAGGAAGTTAGGACTCCTTCCCGACTTTCCCGGTGTTCAACTCGCACGAGGTTCACGTCACGGGATAGAGAAGACCAACAGCAACTTCTTTCTCCTCCCCCCCCAAAC